CAAACATGTGCTGCACTCTCATTGGTGGAAAAATTACAGCACAGCGAACAAAAAAATAAGCTAAACTGTGATGGTAAGCTTCCTGTCCAGTCTAAAAAAATACCAGTCGCTTATCGCTTGTATAAACGTCACGGGGCTTTCGCTGACGCGATTTTGACAGAGCTTACTCCAGTTGCCAAACAGTTTCGCCAGTGAGGACGCTGAGCCTAGGTCCGTTGCTTTAGGCTTTTTCAATCCGATCCCGTAACCACACACTCAATTTTGAAATCAAGTTCCACCAAAACAAATTACTGGACAGCTTCCAGTAAAACCATGTGCTGCTGTATGTTCAGTAAGCTGTGTGTGTGTGAGCTGTCAAAATATCACTTTTCAATTTTTCGCGTATTCTGTATTGCAATGCAACAGTGCCAACAAGGGTGACCATACCTACCGATTTATCGGTAGTCCTACCAATTTTCGGGATGCATATCGATTCACAGTCGAAAGGTTGAAAACTGCCGATTTTTCACTTTTCCTACCGAGAATCACAGAATTTAAGTAATGCCAAATGTTCAATACCTTGGAGAAATGTAGGTAATGTCGGCCTACATGTCCCTAATTTGGGCCCATCGCTAAAAGTCTGCTATTTATCAATTTTATCTAGATGGACGCGTTATTGGGACGTTACTAATGAATATTTTTGGTTGCTATTGAAAATTTAGTTGATTGCTGAATTTATGTATGTGGGCCCAAATTAGGGACACTTAGGCCAACATTAACTGCATTTCCCCTATGTTTTGTTTTACGCAAGGGGTGGTCACTCTACACACTTGTTTTGCGCCAACTTTTTTCTCAGTGTACCTCAGTGTGCCGCAGTTGTACAGGCAGTGTCAAGAAGTCATTGAACTGACTTTTGATTGCTTGTGAATAATGCCTTGTTTGGCAACCCGGTATTTTAACAGCTTTTATTTTTGTTTTGTTTTTCAATGTTTTCAAAAACGACACGGACTCCAGTTGGGACTACACACTGGATGCATCCGTCTCCAAGGATGCCTGCAACGGACGAGCTCCGTTGCTACACGATCCTTCCATCTTTGGCGGAAGGCCGACCCCGCACAACGAACGTCAATCATTAGTCAACCAACCCTTCTGGGAGCCGGCGGAGGAAATGGATTTGCACCGAATTTTTCACCGCCCGAGTATCATCCGTCGGAAAACTGGAAACCAACACCGGCCAGAACACACGTCGGTCTGATGAAGGACGCACCGCTGACCCGAAACGGACCAGCCAATTTTCCAAGCTGAACTACTTGTCAGAGTCCACCAACTCGTACACCCTGCAGGACAATTCGATCAGCTTCAAGGTCTACAGGGCCTCCAAGAACAATCGCTTCCCATGCTAGCAATAATCGCATTCTCCACTTCTTGAATAACCCACCCGTATGCCATCCGAGGATCTGCTGCTGGCTGCATTCACCACCAAGGGCTGCCACCCGTCGCAAGTGCGAATGTTTCCGCTGAAATCAGGAAGTTCCTCCTCCGGATTGGTCGAGTTCCCGAGCGTAGCCCTGGCGGTGAACGTCATCATGAATTGCAACCACAGCGCGATGATCACAAATGCACAAAACTCCCGTTCATTATGAAGCTGTGCTTCTCCTCCTCCAAGAAGATGAACGGTGAGTGGAGCAACGAGAACACCGAAAACACGTTAGCTTTGAAAGAGCGGAAGCTTATTTTCTGAGAAAAGAAAGGATTTTTCTTTTTCTGGTTACTTAATGTTATGATTCGTAATTATAATTTCTTATTGTGTTAGTGGGAAGTGCAAAAAGGAACGAGAGTAAAAATGTGTTGAACTATTTGAGATTTTGCCAAGACGGTCCTCCAACATTATATGTTAGACGATGGAATGGTTGATGTAGCAGCCACCGCCATGGATGTATACGAGCAGTTTTGTTTGGTTGTTGGATTAAAACTCAAGCACCGCTTGTCGTGACCGGCCCAAGATTTCCAGCATCGACCACGGCTACACAAATTAGCGATGCAGCTGCGGCTGATTCCAATGTTGCTGCTGCTGCTGTTCCTTCTGCTGGTCCGTCTCCTCTAAAATTCGTCAAAAAAGACGGACCAGCAGCAGCGTTGGAAGCAGCCGCAGCCGTGGGAGCTGCATCGCTAGTTCGTGTAGCCATGGCCGGAAACCTCGGTTAGGTCAAGATACCGCTGTCAGATGTTCTTCGTATGAGAGGAAATGTGGATGCGACTGCCGTCACAGGTGTAACGAGACTTGGTGGAGATTCACGGTTGTTTTGAAAATAATTTGACTACACGAATAGAAATCTCCTTATACCTTTTGGCAAATTTCCATTGCTGATTATTCATAAAATGTATAAGTCAACTAATAAGCAGCCCTAATAAAACATAACCATAAACGAACGATAACCCAAATCATTGAACTATTCCACAAATGGTTTGGATGATACCCAGAACACGTCGTTAAGCAAATTAACCATACAATTTTTATTAGGGAGACGCCTTGCACAAAGTTAATAAAGATCATGTGTCAAATGAAATGTATAAGCGGTCACACATACCTTTTATGCATTCTAATAGGACCTATGTGGTTTGTCTTATGGAATGTATAACCCAACAAACAATTTTAGCTGCAGATTAGTTTATACAGCCAAAATTTGCCTTATGCAGCTAATTTTTGCCTGTATAAGCTAAGCTGCAGCTAAAATTGTTTGTTGGGAAGGCTGATGCTTTGGCAAAAATGTATAAGTGAAACACATGAATTAAATAATTGATTTTCGTTTCGTGTAGGAGTGGCAACGTCAATAACAAATTTTGACACATGCACACTGGGCAGGCGTAGAAAAAGTTCAGTGTTGCCAGTAACTTTGAAGATCATAAAAATTGTAACCATGGGTGCCAAACAACGTCAATGACTGCACCCCGATGTGCCCCAGTTTGATTTTGGCACACTGTGTAGAGTGACCAACCCCTTGGTTTTACGTGTAGTCAATCAATTTGATCGAACGCGATGCGTTTTGCAACTTCAATCCAAACGGATGAGTTTGTTTACGTTTAATCTCGCGTTTAATCGACTTTCTCTGTCTGTCTCCTAGCGGAGATGCTATTTTCTGTTTCTCCTTTTTTGGTTTTGGAAAGATTCCCTTTCTTTTCACTTGGCAACAGAGGACTTCTACATCAACTTCAAATGACTTCTAGCGAGAAAAAATAGCGGCTGTAGTAAATTATTAAAACAGTGATTTTGTCAAATTATCTTAAGAAAAAATAGTATAAATTCTCATTACTGATCATTAACAAACGTATCCCATGAAAATTTAATGCTCACTGCATGTTAATGATCATTTCTTCGTGGACCTCTAATAGAATCGTAATGTTTGTTTACTTTTCACGATAGGTAACCGGTTTGACAGTTCAATTTAGACTTGGCCTCACGGCTCTTGGCGTGACTCATTATACACTAGATTAGACTATCCAATGTGTGAGGTTGAAGGACTGATGGCTCGGCTTAAAAGTCTAAAATTGCGGGTGATTTGTTTTCATCCTTCCCCCGCACACAAAGCTTTTAAGTTTTGTGGGAAGCCTTCTTAAGACGGCCTACCGATAACTACCGATAAAAGTTTTGAGAAGGTACCGATAATGAAAAAAAAAATAATCTGGCCACTCTGGTGTCAGCTATCATTCATTACAGGTAAAAACAATGAGAATAATTGCAAATTTATAGTGAACTCAACACTCAGACAAAAATCTACACTAACTACTTTAAAAGTCACACTAAATCGCTATTCGCCTGGTTGACCCATAGCTCGCTATAAAGAGAAAGAATATTATTGCATATTTTGCCCCCTAATTAGACTCCCAGCAGAATAATTTTGTCACACTACAAAATGTTCACACCGTTTTCAGCATACATTGGTTCATTTCGATGCTACAGTTTCATGTAGCGAGGGCGCATTCTAGGGTGGCATATTGAATAATCGGTTTGTTTACCTGCTATTCCCTTTGTACTTTGATGTGTGAACCAACTATCAAATATTTTCACATCAGTCTAAAAACCAATGCAACCCACAATACCAAGTCAGAGAAAAATTAGCAGACAATTTTTCTTGCACTAATACTTAACGGCTGTAATTAAATTAATTCCACTAACTACTGCTTTTATTACATTAATTACACAATGTAGAACATTAACTACTCTTTAACTCCACTAATTACAGTTGAAATTTCGTAATTATAGTATGTACATTAATTACATTTTCAATACTTATAATTACATTAATTACGGATAGATAATTTTAATTACCATCAGTACTACTTCAAAACGCATTAATTACTTTAAGTACTTTTGATTGCATTTTAACTTCAACGCACCGGTTCTTTGTATTGCGTGTCCCTCGGGGCAACTCTCTCTCTACGATGCAGGAAAGATCGAGGTTAGCTGCGCGCACGCTGAGTACACAGCAAAAAAAAATGTAATATCGATCAACGTAATTCAAGCTGATGTATGAAAAAAAGATGTAATAGCAGAAAGCAGATACAATATTATATCAATGGATGTAATTTTGTTCGCAAAATCGATGTACATCGTACAACGTAATATTACATAACCGACGGAATGATCTCTGTGCAGCTGTTTGGATGTAATATTCAACAACTTTTTTTTTCTGTGTAGATAGAAAGACGATTGATGACGATTTTGAAGATTCCTACAAAAAGAAGATGCGTAATGCAAGTACATGTGAATAATGGTAAAAGATTTTCCGAAGATTCATTCACTAGTGAGAGATTTTTCGAGCATCTAGAATTAAGATTTAGAAAGGTCGCCACCCTCGGTTTTAACCAACAATTTTTCTCCAGATTTCCCACCGACATGTTCAAATCGATAGCAATGTGTAGCCGGTGCTGAATCGAGCCCACCTATAAAAAAACGCTCCGGTTCCATCACACGCATCTGCCAAATTTGCTGTCAAACTCTCAAAGCTGCCAACTTTCCGGCACCAGCGAACTGTCACCGATCTAACATGCCTTCCCAAAAAGATCTTTCTTTTCGCTAAAGTGCGTTTGCTAAGACGTGTTGAGGTTTTACCAACAGTCAGCTGAATAAGGTAGTTTTTGGCCCGAATTATTCGTAAATTAGTGCGCAACGGATTGCCTGAACGGTGTACTTTAGGTGGATGTACGGTTTATGTGTGGAAATTAATGAAATGATCGGAAATTCGTCTCGGAAAGTTTCACGTTTTGCTGGAACCGACATCGCAGCGGGAAGAGTGAGGTTATGGCTTCCTGCGCTGCTAGTGTCAAAACGGGATTTGTTTACCAGTGTGAATGTTTCGTTGGTCCCGTTGTGTTTAGGAGATAATCAGAACTCGATTGTGTTGTTTTACGAGGACTAATGGTGTATCGTTTTGCTTTCTCTGTTTCAGGTTCACCAAAATGTCGACCGCAACGATCCGTACCCGCCGGTTCATGACCAACCGTCTGCTGTGCCGTAAACAGATGATCTGTGATGTCCTGCATCCAGGTCTGGCTTCGGTGGCCAAGAAGGAAATCCGTGAGAAGCTGGCCACAATGTACAAGACCACCCCCGATGTGGTGTTCGTGTTCGGATTCCGCACCAACTTTGGCGGTGGCAAGTCGACCGGCTTCGCGCTGATCTACGATACCCTGGACTTTGCCAAGAAGTTCGAACCCAAGCACCGACTGGGTCGCCACGGACTGTTCGAGAAGAAGCGAATGACCCGCAAGCAGCGCAAGGAACGCAAGAACCGTATGAAGAAGGTGCGCGGTACCAAGAAGGCAAAGGTCGGACAGGCCGTCAAGAAGTAAGGTGTTTCTGTGACCTGCCCTTTCTGGAGCTTGCTTGGGGAGCTTTTCCGTGTTTTTCTCTCAGGTGGGAGTTGATAATTCCATCGCAGGAAATGAAAATATAACTTTATGGTTTAAGATAAGTGATCGCGAGTTGACTGTCTTTGTTCAGTGTCATATCACAGTATCCGTTTGAAGGAAGTCGTGGAAGCAGAGTGTCGGATCGTAAATATCCCGATAAAACCAGTTACGGACACAATTTAAAGCAAACCCAACCCACTTCAAAATGTTAACTCAATAGTGGATGCAAGATTGTTTCTTAAATCTAGATGAAGAATTAACTGCACTAATAACTCGGCTGTAATGTTTCCAACTAGGGTAAATGGCTCTAATGTTGGCCTATGGATCTAAGATTGGGCCCATCGTTAAAAATCAGCTATTTATCAATTTTATCTAGATGAACGCGTCATTGAGACGGTACTAATGGATATTTTTGGTCGCTATTGAAAATTTAGTCCAATGCTGCTTTATTTATGGCCCAAATAAGGGGCATTTAGGCCGACATTACATCCGTTTCCCCTATGTTTGTTTTTTAAGATGTTAAACTTCTTATCAAACTACGTGGGGAAAATAACCCGAAATTTAACGTACCTTTTGCGGTGTTCATCTAGATCTAGAAATATAAAAAAATGGATTTCGGAATTCATCAATCAAAATAGTTGGCCTGTTAATATCAACAATCACGCTTTATTCTTTTTCGCTTTCATTGACCCCTTTTTGCCTTTCGCTTTCCCATCGCTCTTTCTATTCAGTTTACTCTTCTTAACCATTTCGTCCAACTGTTCCGGTTTGACAAATTTTCGTTTCTTGAACTTTTTGCTATCAGCTGCTCCCTTGAAACGCTCATCCAACTCTCCGCTCTTAATGCTTCGTTTCCGTAGCTCGTTCTCCTTCTTCGTCCGTTCCTTCCTCTCGGTCGCTCGAGCTTCCTTCTCCTGTTTCCACTTGGCGTCCATCTCGTCCGGGTCCAATCCTTGCTCGATCCACTTCTTCCGCCTGTAGTTGTGCTGCCTCTCGTCAAAGTCCTTGGTGTCCAGGTTCATTTCAGCCTCTCTTCGCGCAACGCTAACCTGCATGAAGATCCGCTCGACCAACCGTTGATCGATCGAATGCTCGGTCAGCTTCGTATTGATCAATCCTTCGATTTCACCCAAAAATTCCAAATCCCTTGGGAACCTAAAAATCGAGATCGCCAAACCTTTCCTCCCGGCCCTGGCCGTTCGCCCAACTCGATGAATGTACTCGTTCGGAACTTTCGGCAACCGGTGGTTCAACACCAGCTGGATGTTCGGAATATCCAACCCACGACTGGCCACATCCGTCGCGATCAAAATCCGAACGTGCTTCGATTTAAACTTGTTCAGCGCCGCCACCCGCTCCTTCTGCCTCAGAAAACCATGCAGGCAAACGTTATCAAACCCGATCGAGTTCAGCGTTATCGACAGGACTTGGCAATCCTTCTTCGAGTTTGTAAAAATCATAACGCTTGCCTCCTCGTGGTCCTCCTTAAACTTCCGCAATGTCTCTATCAGCACCATATCCCGATCATAATCGGCACACAGAATATATCGCTGATCCAGCGTTTCCACCGTGGCCACCTCGCTTTCCTCCGTCCACTCGAACGCATCCTCCCGGATCGGAAACACACTGTTCTCCCGCATGAAATCCTTCAACGTAGCCGAAAAGAACAAATTCTGACGTTTCTTCGGCAAAAATCGATCAATCTCTTGCAAATCCTCATCAAAGCTTCCGCTGAGTACCCGATCAGCTTCGTCCACCACCAGGAATCGCATCGCCCGGAACGAGTACGTATTGCACCCGGTCAAATGGGCCGCTAATCGGCCCGGCATTGCCACCACAATGTGCGGCCGGCTCTGCAGTCGCTGGGCCTCCAGAAGCTGATCCGTTCCACCGGTTATGACACACACTTTCACGCCCATCGGCTGTCCGGCCACGGAAAACTGCTCCGCAATCTGGTGCGCCAGTTCATGCGTCGGAGTCAACACCAGGGCAAAGTTACTGGTCGGTTCCTCACTCAGTTTCTGCAGAATCGGCAGGGCAAAGGCGAAGGTCTTGCCGGAACCGGTTTTAGCTGCACCTATGCACTCCTGGCCATCCAGGATACGTGGGATACATGCCTGCTGGATTGGCGTTGGTCGACGAAGGCCTGTGGAATAGACGGTGTTCAACACTTTTCATTTAGGTCATGCATTCGCGGGAAACTTTACCTAGTTTATCCATCTGTTTGACGATCCATGGTTTCAGCCCGAGCCCGGCGAAACTTGGGTCCGATTTGAGTGCCATTTATTGTTCAGTAAACAGCTAAAACTGCATTTTAGCACTAGAAATCACTGGAAACTTCGTAGCACTTAGCTATACTTTGACACTCGCACGTGTGTTCTGTTTTGATTTTCGATTCCGCCGCTGATGGTGTTTATAGTCTGTTTAGTGCGAGAGCTAGATGCCGAGGAAAAACATCGAAACGTCAAAAATCGTTGCACTCTCTCTCTCTCGTTTCGATTACACTGTAACTGGAAAGTACCCATTAATGGGTGAAAAAGTGCCCATTTCGAAGTAAAGTAGCGCGAAAGGGGCATTTTAAGCAGCGTTGCCAGAACTACAGATAAATCGGTATTTTTACCGATGTTTGACCCTAATAAAAATGCTATGGTTAATTTGCTTAACGACGTGTTCTGGATATCATCCAAACCATTAGTGGATTAGTTCAATCATTTGGGTTATCGTTCGTATATGGTGATTTTTTATTAGGGGAGCTCCACGGATACGAAGCTCCTTATACCTTTTGGCAAATTTCTATTGCTAATTATTCATAAAATGTATACGCCAACTAATAAGCAGACGCCTTGCAAAAAAATTAATGAAGATCATGTATCAAATGAAATGTATAAATGGTCACACGTACCGTTTATGCATTCTAATAGGTCCTATGTGGTTCGTCTTATGAAATGTATAAGGCTGATGTTTTGGCGAAAATGTATAAGTGAAACACATGAATAAAATAATTAGTTTTCGTTTCATATAGGGGCGTCTCACTTTTATAGAAAATTCGTTTATTATTCAGTTCCAACCTGGATCGGGTATCTAGATTGGATCTGCTTGTTTTCTGACAAACGTCAGTTTGATCGTTTGTTTTTAACAGAGCCGATGTTATAATAAGAGTCCCGCCAAGAGAAAATGTTGTGAACAATCAGCACTGTTTGTGATTTATTTTTCGTCAGAGTAAACCTCGGAGTAAACGGCAACCTGATTTTTTGCGTTAGCATCCGATGACTTTCATTTAAAACCTGAAAAATATTCAAACAAGGACTGTTCCGTTTCGCGCAGGCTTGGAACTTGTTGCAAACACATTTTTGTTTGCCAAGGGAGAGTTTTTCGGACATCTGTTATTCGCTCGAAACATAGACTGCTAAAATTTTAAAGATTGTTTTTATATGTCCCACACATGAATGTTTGCAATGTGATCAACAAATGATATCTCCGGAGAACTTTGAGATTTGGGCGTAATTGATTTTGTAAACAAACACGCCAATCACCGATTGCTCGCGAATAAACGTTCAATCTCGCAAACAATCTATACCAAATGATAGAGGAGTAATTCCTCTACCTCTTTGTGTTGTTAGTTTTCGAAATTGAGCTTTGATTTGCGAGAAATCGGTGATTGACGTGTGTCGGACACATACTTAATATGTGTACACATAAAAGCCATGTGTAACCACACATACACACAAAAAATTATCGTTAATTAAAATGAAAAAAACCATTGGTATAATTAAAAGTTTGCGTTGGTTCTTTTTGGTAGAAAGTCTTTAGCATTCAAAACAAAAGTCAGCCAACTTTCAATTCAAAAGTAACTCGTTTTTTACTTTTAAAAGTATGAACTTTCAAATCGAATTGTAGAACTGTCAATATAAAAACCCATGTTTTTTAAATAGACTCACGAAAGGACTTAATTTAAATGATGGGCATTTTTATCGCAACGATGTATGTTTTCATCTCAAATATGAATTATTTTTAATTTGACTGCTATATGCTTTGAAAAAAAATATCAATAAAAATATTTTATTTAATATATTTTCGCTTATTTATATATTTCGATAGGGCACTGCATTGTGGAATCATGGGAAGCATTTTACGCAAATGATACAGTTGGTGATGGTGATGGTGGGAGTAGCCTTCCTTTCCGGCAAGACTGCTCAAAACACATAAATTAGTAAAATCGGAAACAAGATCGAAAATATTCGAAAATTTCATCAACCTACCTCCAAATCCCGTAACTGGAATATCCTTCCGATCCTTCCACCCGATAGCGTCAGAAAAGAAACAAGTGCGCCGGCGGATGAAAATGTGGGAAACTTGAAGAAACTGCTGCTGCTCATGTTAGCTGCTGGTTTCGTTTTTTTTTTCACATGTCCAATTTGGCGGGAAACGGTGGTCCAGTACTGTCAAAAACTTTGCAATGAAGAGGTTTTTGACAGTTTTTCGACTTTTATTCTAAAAAATACACTTTTAAAATTACAAGCTGAAAGTGAAAGAAACACTTTTAAACCAAAAAAATATGTTTTATTTTGAAAATGTTCATAGTTAAAACTACGAAATTTGGGAAACTTTTAATTTGATCATGCATTATTTTTATAGCAACAATTTTTGTTCTTTGTGTGTACTATTCATTTGACTCATAAATTGCAAGTGTTCTTCTGGGTGGATTCTGTTCTAGGAGAGTCTCGCTTTTAGAATGCCCATTGAATATGCATTTAATTTAAATCAAATGCATTTAATTTCCATCGTTTGCATCAACCATTGAGTGGGATGCGAACATCAAAACTAGCCATGCGCTTTTCCGGTGAAAACTATACATTCATCAAGGTGAAGATAAACAAACACACCTTAGAACCAAGAATCAATACGAAAGTAACGATTTTTAAATTGGCTCACTACTTGACTGTTTGTTTTGATTCGCTATGAAAGTTTGACAGATAAAATGAGGGGTTATTGGTTTTTCCTATGTTTCGAGGGGTGAATCGATTAGCTTGGGACAGAAGAGAGTACCAGCAACAATCAATACGAAACTAACGATTTTAAATTGGCTCACTACTTGACTAGCCTATTGGTCCCAAGCAAACGATTAAAGTACCCCATTCTAGTCGAAATTCTACTACTACACAATGTTTGTTTTGATTTGCTATGAAAGTTTGACAGATAAAATGAGGGGTTATTGGTTTTTCCTATTTTTCGAGGGGTGAATCGATTCGCTTGGGACCGAAGAGAGTACCAGAGCTGAGCCAACAAGTTGAGCACGTTATTTCGTGACCTTCTAGTCTTAGAGTTACCTCTATGGTACCAGAGCTGAGCAAAAAAGCTGAGCACGTTATTTCGGGACCTTCTAGTCTTAGAGTTACCTCTATGGTAGAACCTCCGTTGGCAGCATCGGAAATCTCCACCGGAATCATGCGGAAGCTCCTCCTCCTAAAAACACATGAAATTACATTACAAATTTTCTGAAACTTCCGTTGGCAGCACCGAAAATGCGAGAAAACTCCGACGAATTTGGAACATCCGCTGGCAGAATGATTAACCTCCACTAAAATTGTGCAGAACATCCTCAACTGAGAACGCCTCAAAACTCCGTTAAAATTTCCTTAAACCTCCACTAGCAGCATCATAAAGCTCCATCGAAATTTCGCATCTTTTAATGGGCCATACTTTATGTAATTGCAATTTATTTATTTTCCAACATCGACAGACTCAATGTAACCTCAATGTAATGTATGTAGTCAAACCGAGTCAATCGTAATCCTGGTGGATAAACCCTTTATCAAGATAAGACAAAGTTCCTAGAACCTTCGTTGGCAGTCTTCGAAATCATGCAGAACCTCCTCCATCTAGAAGGAAAGAAAAATCCGTTTGAACTTCCAGAAACCCCCGCTGGCAGCTTCCAAACTCACCGAAATCACGCCGTCGATGTTCCCTGGAACTTCCATCTGCAGCATTCAATCTCTTCACTAGTATCGTGCAGAACCTCTTTCACCGATAATGCGTGGAAACTTCGTCGAATTCCGATGGGAACCTTCTTTGGCAGCATCCGAATTTTCGAGGGGAGTTTTGAAGGAGTTTTCATATGTTCAGGGTGAAGAGGATTCCGAAAGATTTCGGTGCTACCAAAGGAGGTTCCAGTGTGCTTCGACGAAGTTTCCACGCATTATCGGTGAAAGAGGTTCTGCACGATACTAGTGAAGAGATCGCGTTTTTGGTGGAGGAGGCTCTGCACGACTCCGGTGGAGATTTCTAATGCTGACACCGAAAATTCCGACGGTTTTTTTCGGCGTTCTCGGTCGAGGAGCTTCTGGAATAATTTTCTCAAGCCAAGAGTGTGGATTTGAGCAAAACCCAAGCGAACAACAAAACAGGACAAAACCCCGAGCAAAACCCTTCATGTATACATGCATGTATTGATGTCACTTAAAGCTACACACAGCAAAAAATGCACTGAAAAAATGCATTTAATTTTTTTTTGTTATAATAAATGCACCACAAGTGATGTGCTCCTATTCTGTTTTTGTGTGGTCACATGAAAATCATGTAGAATCTCACATGGAAATTCGTCAATGAAAATGTGTGGAATTTTATTAGTGTAGGAAAATCCACGAACCCATCATTTTATCTGTCAAAAATTCATAGTGAATCAAAAAAAATCATAGTGTAGTATAGACTAGAATGGGGTACGCTCATCGATGTACTTCCCACATAAACGCGAACCATTTCTCGGCCTTACCGAAAATGGTTAAACATGGTTTATAAACCCTCGCGTATACACAGCAAAAAAAAAAGTAATATGCATCAACGTAATTCACATGATGTACAACAAAACGGATGTAATCAAGAAAAGTAGATGTATAATAACATCCATTTGGATGTCATATTACATCGCTCTTTAAATTACACCGAAACAAAATTACCATTGTCCATTACGTTGCATCTGAGTAATATTCACATATCAATAACATAATTATTGCACAGAATCAGATGCAACCAAGTCATTCCAAAATAGTTGTGTAATATTACACAAAATTTGTGTAATATCATATAATGTTGATGCTATATTAAATCTCGCAACACTGTAAGACTTCGTTCTAGGTGATCGGGAGTGAATGTACTCCACGCATTGCCAGAGGAAGCAGCAACCTGTAAGTTGAAATAATTTTTACAAATTTTAGTTGATTTATTGACGATTTCGCTTTTATCTCTGCAGAACATCCGCGACGAGATTTTTTCATTGCCTTCAACCAGACGGTTAACTAAGCAGAGACGCCATACTTTCTGGGAACCCTCAATGCCGACCAATACTGTTAGTGCTTCACGCAGTGCCGAAGGAAGTCCATCCAGCTAGCTGTACCTTCTACTTGACCCGAATTCAGTAGGAATGCTGATTGTCCATGGTCCATGGCTCCTACCACCCGGTGGTCAGCCCTTCAACACGACGGAGACTAGTCGTTATGCTTTCTGGAAGTCTTTCATGCCAATCAACATTGCGCAGTACTCCACGCAGTACCAGAGGAAGCCGTAATCTGTAACTGAGTAACTGCAGTTTTTACAACTGATTAAAATTTATGTGAGAAAAAAGATAGCAAAGCAATTTAATCAACTACGTATACGTATATACATCGTTTTTTCCTCGGTTTTTTCTTTACATCGCATCACTATTACATCGCTTCGTTTACTTACATCGCTTCGTTTACTTACATCGCATCTGTGTACATCACATATATTACGTCAGAAAAATTACATCGGTTTTGTGTATCACATCATTTGATTCTGCGTACATCGTACAATGTGATATTACACAACCGATGGATTGACCTGGTTGCAGCAGTTTCGATGTAATATTCAACAACTTTTTTTGCTGTGTAATCCCTGCTAAATTTTAACTGAAATGGTTATGCAACTTTACATGAACGTTTGTATGATCAAGTGGAGGGGCGATCAACTTCATAAATCAGCTGAATTGTAAATACACACTTCGGAAAATACACAAAAAAATACTCCAACAAACAATTGCCTATTGAAGAAACGACTTCTTGACGATTTTATTCAACTGCATGCTTAATAATACTTTTACTATTTTTAAAAGGCTTTAGTTTAGGCTTGGTTCACACAAATCTGGAGAATTTATTCAAGCGCAACATCGAAATATTTGGTGCTAAATAAGGTATGTCGAGAAGCGTTTATTCGACTTACAAGAGTTGTAACAGAGCTTATTCGATCATATTTTTGATTATTCAGCGTCTATTGGACATCATTACTTCCTTAAACAGCGATGGTGTAAACATAGAGGTAACTCTAAAGGCCCACCTACATTAGATCCGTTTGCGTTACGTTGACGCAAATTTGACAGTTAGACAATAGATTTAGCTGTCACTTTGCCGCAACGCGTCCGATCCGGATCTAATGTGCATGGGCCTTAAGACTACCCAACAAACAATGTGTGCTGATTAAAGGCTTAACAAGTCATTTTTAAGCTGAAAAAGCATATTTTTGCCTGAATAAGCTCTTGTTCAGCTTCCAATTTTTGTTGGGTAGTAGGTCCCAAAGAAACGTGCTCAACTTTTTGGCTCAGCTCTGGTACTCTCTTCGGTCCCAAGCTAATCGATGTACCCCTCGAAACATAGGAAAATCCACTAACCCTCGCACGAACCCCTCATTTTATCTGTCAATCTTTCATAGCGAATCAAAACAAACATAGTCTAGTCCAAGGTGACTACAAATAGGTGTTCTAATGTGTCAAATTCATGATTCAGCCATGTTGGATTTTTGTATGGGACAGCGACCGAGTTTGTTTACAATTTGCTCTAAAACCGCACTTTTCCCCCCCGCGACCTCCTCGCCTATATAGTGACAAAGCTGTATCACCATTTATATACCCACCATGGTCTAGTCCTAGAGTTTTGACTAGAATGGGGTACGTTAATCGATTTGCTTGGGATCAATAGGCTCGTTAAGTACTGAGCCAATTTCAAATCGTTAGTTCCCTAACATCTAAACACCACGCCTTGGTCAACGCCAGTTAATTTTAGGATAAATAAATTATTTTTTTCCGATTCCGATTAATAAATAAATGCAGATTTTCATCAGTGAACGGAGGTACCGATAATCAAAAAATGGTTCTGGCAGCTCTGATTAGTATTTTTTACAAAACATATCAGGTCTTTTTAAAATATTACGCGAGAAACATCGCATACAAAAACATAAACAAATGCACAGTCATGTCAGTGAAATTCGTGAAATTTCTCCCGTAAAGTTCGGAAATTTTGTTTTCTTTGAAATTAGCCGGTTTTAGGAAAAAATCTTAATTCTTAACTTGCGACTTAGTCGCTAAACGATACATTACTCTTACGCCCCGTAGGTTGGATCGTGGAAGGTTATAAACATTTAAAAGTGTTTCCAAGATGACCGACGCAAGCCAGCAAGAATCAAACGATGGCAACGACACATGCCTGGAAACTGCTTTTTGCATCAAACAGGAGCCGCTGGAGATAGATCCGGATGATTTTTTGGAAGCCAAATATGACTCAATAAGTGTAGTAAGCGGTAATGTAATTGCCCATTTTATCCGTATTACCTAGTTTGTTATCATGGGTGCCTTTCTTTTTAGATACACAAAAAGCATCGCCTTGCAAAGAGAACTTCCAGCTAGAAGTTATGGCTATAAGAGACGTCGATGGAAATTCGTCGGAGCCTGGTAGAAAACGGAAAAAAATCTTGAAACGGTCCTCTAAAAGGCTAAAAATAACGGCTAAAGAAGACGTCGATGATAATGCGCAGGGTCCTTTTAGAAAACGGTGCCGGAAATCGAAAAGGCTGAACATCTCGCCAGAGACAACGAAGCTTTCCTTTCAGTGCCCGAGAAAATATTGCGAGTTTTCTTGTGCGTCGGTTAAAGCTTTAGACTCGCACACTCGTCTTCGACATGAAGAAGCGAACCTCAAAGTAGGTGGAAGAAGAAAACCTCGAAAAATAAAGGATGTGGCCAAAGCAGTGCCAGCGGCCAGCCTAAGCGATGGTGAAGTGGAATCTACTTCAAAGCCAGAAGTCGTTGATGTTTCAGGGTTTGTCGTGCGAATTGAAAAGATTTACAACAAGGGAAGAGTAATGTACGCTTGCAGCAGATGCAAAAATGTATTCCGTAAAAGGGAGACTTGTGAAGCGCACATTGCCAAAGTTCACATGAATATTAAACGATATACCTGCAGCGACTGTGGTCGAGGGTTCGATCGGGCCTTGGATCTGGAAGAACACAACAAAGTTCATACCCGAGAGCGTCCCTTCAAATGTCCAGCAGAAAACTGCACCTACACAGCCTCGTGGACTGGTACTCTGTACAAACACGTTCGTCGTCGTCATAAAGACTATCAGGGGGACCTGACATTGGCAACTGTAGCGAAAGGCGAACTAAGCAAACGCAAAGTAAGAGATAATAATCCCGTTGCGAATGAACCTGCTGGCAGTGTAGCGAAGACAGACGAAACGATTGAAGCTGAACCCGACAATGAAGATTCATTATTAGTACAGATTCCGCCTGTTGAAGACGTTGAAAATGACAGTGGTCAATTGGATTTATACGAAGAGGCCAACATTATCGATAACCGCAACGACAACGTACCTCATTATGCCTGCAAGATCTGTTCGAAGGATTTCGAAAATCTCTATTCCATCAAACGCCATGTCAATGAGGCTCATATCGATGTGAAGAAACGTACCTGTCTGACATGTGGAATAACTTTATCATACAGATACAATCTCAATGTTCACATGAGAAGTCATTCCGGAGAGCGACCACACAAATGCGGGGAATGTGGCAAGGGTTTTCTCAGTACAAGCGATCTCAAAAGACATGCCCGTCGCCTTCAACACGCGAGTGGTATGCCGAAAAAGGAACACAAGTGTATTATTTGTAAGGAAAATTTCGACAGTTCTGGTGACCTAGAGCAGCACGCCTCTATCCATGCGTTACGTGTAACTGATCTCAATGACAGTTATGAACTGACTCCCTACGAGGAAGCTAAACTAACGGTCAGTGATTCTAGTGAGTCACATGTTTACACATGCAACATTTGCGGCATGCAGTTCAGTGTTCTTTCGGCAGCCAAAGACCACGTCAATAAGGATCATAAGGATGTGAAAAATCACAGTTGTATCTACTGTGGATCAACCTCCAACTCACGGACCGCTATGAGGAAGCACATGTTGATTCATGAAGGCAATAAAACATTCAAATGCTTGAATTCACATTGCAATTACGCTACCGAGCAGTACGCAAACTTGCAACAGCACTTCCGTGATTGCGCTAACATTTCCAAGAGAGCGGCTGTTCGCAAGTGCACCATTTGCTGTGTAGAATTTGGAGAGCTAAGCGTCTTACGGGCCCACTTTAAAGTAGCACACAAACTAGCCAACAGTTACAGCTGTGTGCACTGCGAATACTCTTTTGGTAGCCTGGGCGATCTAACAGAGCACATCCTATCGCACGGTGCAATCCAATCGGTGGTTCGGTGTCCCATCGAGAACTGTCAGTTTATCGTAACGTCCGAGGAAGATCGAAGGAAGCATCAGCAATGGCACGAAAAGAAAAACAATCCACTTCCGAGGCCATTCGTCTGCGGTACCTGCGGGAAGGATTTCGATAGGAACGCTAGTCTTATGCGCCATATGAGAAATATTCATTCCAAGTAATAGAGGGACTTCCGCATACATAAAGGTCCTCTTATTTTTCGTATAATAAAATGATTTATAAAGGTAATTTTAGAACCAATCTATTTTGAGAAATTTCAATCTTACCCTACAACTGGCTTGCATGTTATGCCCTAATGACAAGGTTCCATAGAGCTAGACGATCAATCGGTTGCAGTAAAATCAAAGAGGTTTGATTTTACCAGGGGCAACATTGGCTTACAAGCCGAACAACCGAGTCTTTCAAGCAGGTAGTGTCATTGCGCGAAACCTAACCTAAATCTCCCCGTCGCATCCAGTGGGTCCCAGGGCAACTACCATCGAGTCTAGTAGGATCAGTTGGGGCCTCCCTTAGCTCAGTCGGTAAAAGCGCAGCTACAAAGCAAGACCATGCTGGAGGTGGCTGGGTTCAATTCCCGGTCCGGTCTAGGCATTTTTCGGGTTGGAAAATTCCACGATTTCCCTGGGCATAGAAGTATGATTGGACTTGCCACACAATTATACCAATGCAAAAATGGTACAGGCATCGAAAGCTCTCAATTAATAACTGTGGAAGTGCATCTAGAACACTAAGTTGAGAGCACGCAATAAGCTAATATGCGATATGCAATAAGCTTGAAATGCGAAGAAGAAGAAGAAAGAAGGATCAGTTTCAACACTACGTCGACTATGCTGCCCAACCGAAGATGTTGGCCGCTGTCCGCGCTTTATAAAGAAGGGTATATCATGGGCCAGGGATCAACACGTACCCGTATCCTGGCAGGTATGCAATACTCTGAACCTTGATTGATCAACCAACGACCTTATTAGACTCCGTAAGAGATGCCAGATTGTTTTCTATGCAATTCCGTAGACTTATTCAAATCTACGGATTTTTTTAGTCGAAGGTGATTTTTTTTTTAGTTCTATGGTGATATTTTACGTTAAATGAAAAATCGATGAAAGAACTTTTGAAAAATTACTAGGGACAGTCCTCTGGGGTTGTACGCAATGGTGACGTCAGACTACGTGGTCTTATATAATAAATGTTATTTATTAACTGCAGCAGGACTTGTGTTTTAGGTAGGAATAGGAATTTGAGTGGGGTTCTCTCTGTTTATACTTTTTAGTATGACTATGATTGCCCTGAAAAGAAGCTTTTGATGTGAATTTTAGTTGGGATATGTTCAGAAATTTAACTCTTTTGGAAAATCTTGGTGGCCCTGAAAAGGGCCGATGGTAGTACAGGGATGAATACCATGATACTGCTGCACCTGTAGTTTTTGGTATACTTTCACTGATTGCTTCCCGGGGATAAATGTTCAGCCATAACAAGATGTGTGCGTGAGGACTTCCACGGTGCTTAAAACTCAATCGTATGAAGCAGCTTGTTGAAGTACACACAGCACGTGACTGGATCATCATTGACCAGAGTTGCTCTTTGTAGTGCAGTCAATTCCTGGATAGGATCTGTTAAGTCATTGCCATTGCGTCCTTCTGACAATGTAGGAGATTCAACAAATGGGACCACTTCATCTCATTTGCACTAAGTGTGAGGAACATCGTAGGCTTTCCCAATTGTCGCATCATGGTGAACAAATTTATCTTCCTTTGTTACCAATACTGTACTGAATTCGGTATTGATTTGACGAAGGATAGATTTCGCTCAATGTACTGCTTGTCCCCGTGCACTTAAAAGTGCATTGCAAGCCTTCGGAAACTCTAAGGCGTAGAACTTTCACAACAAATGTTGTGGTTTGCCCACACGCCTGTCTTAAGGTGATTCCCTGTAGCGTCCTTGTTCGTGTTACACTTCGCTATTTCACATGTACAAATAATAAGGTTTCTGTGGATGCACGTAGCTGAAACTACTACTTGTTGTTTGCTGCGGAGAAGCAAGCAATGACTGAAATTTGCAGATGTATAAACTTCGTAGATCTTGAGTTGTGTGCTCTTGAAATTGCGAGGTGTGATGAAAAAATGGACTCTACAAGGAAACACCTTAACGACGAGTTTCACTGCACAGCAAAAAAAGTTGTTGAATATTACATCGAAAATGATGCAACCAGGTCAATCCATCGGTTGTGTAATATCACATTGTACGATGTACATCGATTTGGCGAACAAATTTACATCCATTGATGTAATATTGTATCTGCTTTTTGCTATTACATCATTATTTCATACATCAGCTTGAATTACGTTGATCGATATTACATTTTTTTTTGCTGTGTGGATGCCATCATGAAATATGTCATCCGAATCCCTGGCTTGAATTTCCGTAGATGGTCAAAACATATGGCAGGAAAAGCTATCTCTTCGCCGTGCTCGTCATATATTAATGACAGATGAACCCTGTTTTGCACGGGAGCGATCTCCAGGCATTTGTCCTTATTACAAAGGATCGTTTCCTGTTGCCCAAGCAGCAATTCTGTCTCATTATCCACGGCAATGGTTTGCAGCTCAATTTGAGGATCCACTGCAGGGGTTTCAAGACCATCTATGGCGATCTGATCAATAGTGTCAGTGGTGTCGTAATCTAATAAGAAAGCCAAGTTTTAACCGTAGTTTCCTTTATAAAGCCGGACAACTACGACGACTTATGGATTACGTGCTTTTTGATGAACACGTTGAAGGCCTGATCATCATCAAGCTCACGGAGAAGAGAGCGGCGTCTCTCTTACACAACGCAAACAGTAGAACAACATTGAAGCAAAAAGAAAATTATCAAATAACTATCATATGACATATATGATTTCGTTCTAATTCCTCAATTTGGTGTCAATTAAACCATTTCTGATCAAAAATGTTATTACTAGGACATCGTTGTTTGCTACTTTCAGAATTCACACAAGCACACATCAGCAGCTCTTATTATAAGAAAAACTCAAATACATACATTCGTTACGGCCTTCGGTGACAGAGTCGTATGACAGAGCCTGACATAAAACATTGGTACTGTTATTTGAAAGCTTGTTTTGCAAGTGTCGGAAGCAAAGGCAGTCGATTATCACAGAAAATGTGTCGACTACGGTCGACCGACACGACTTTTATTCGCCTTCACACGGCACTGTCGAAAATTTTTCTCTTCAAGCAAAGATTTACAGTATATTATGGGAACTTTCTCCGGAGTGAAGAGTTTCACGCACAGCCTGACGTTTGCTTACGGGATATTTCATAGGAGAGAAGAGCTACAGAGTCGCCGTCAACGTCAATTCTATCAAAAAGCGGATAAGTGAGCAAGAAAACTGTTGTATTCTACTTTATGCTTCTTTTCCCTTTTTTGGAGGCGAACCAGCCCAAGGCTGAAAGCCTCCTTAATAAAGCTAAATAATAATAATAATTCTTTCCCTTCAGAATCAGATTATACTCTAGATTGTAAAATTCGATTCTGAAGGCAGACGTATACTGAAGAAAAATCCGTGGAAACTGTACCGAATTCCGTAGATTTTGCCTACGGATCCGTATTTCCGCAAAAATTTGTAAAATCCGTAGATCTACGGAGATTTCCGTAGATCTGGCATCGCTGTCGAAGCCAGTAGCAACGCACTGGGACCACATTACACATCTCGAAACGAAAGACTTTTTGTACGAACGCTTGTATGAAAAAGTTTTTCTTTTCGAGATGCGCAAAAGACTTCTCTGACGTTTGTGAAATGCACAAGTATTATTAGTGCAAGAAAAACTTTGAATTGATCATTTCAAGAGCAAATTTTCATTACGTCGAATGTAACAAAGGTAAACAAAGTCGAGCTATCAGCACAGACAAACAGACATAACACTCGCAAGTTGATCATCGTACAAGCATTTAGAGGTCAATTTAAAAGTATCGTAGTTGGTAGTACCACCACCTGTGGCGCGCGTAGTCAATTCCCTTGCGTTTGACGTTTACACACTACCGCCATCTGTTCAGCGTACTACCCACCACAGTGTACTCAACAGATGGCGGTAATGTTTTAGCGACGATGTTTTACAGTGAGAAATATACTATGAGTTATGTCTGTTTGTCTGTGCTATCAGTGTCAATCGATGCTCCTGCTATTACACTATATACTGTCCGAATATAGAATCACATCCCATTTTTAAATTTATTTACCAGTCGAATCGCTTTTTGACGTAATCACCTTCCGATCAAAATAGTTTTCGATGTTACTTAAGTCACCCGATTTCTATGGAGATACCGTTTGTCTTAAGTAACAGCGCTGAGAAACCAGTGAAAAGTGTACGTTCGTCGTTTCGCTTTCTCATTATTAAAGTGAATAAATCGAACTGTTTGTTGTTAAGATGATTTCGGTGGTCCTAAAATGATGAATGGGCTGCACGTAAGGAGACGTAATTGATAATTCTCCCGAATATCCTGGTAAATACACTTAGACTTAAGTAACAATAGGGGCCACCAAACGACGTATAATAACTTTTGACTCAAAAACCAGTATTTCTTAGCATGAAAGCTAGCGATTTGCCTTTGTATGATTAAAACCCGGCTAAATATGTTAAACATTGCTATCACTATGAGATCACAGACAAACAGACATAACTCATAGTATATTTCTCACTGTAAAACATCGTCGCTAAAACATTACCGCCATCTGTTGAGTACATTGTGGTGGGTAGTACGCTGAACAGATGGCGGTAGTGTGTAAACGTCAAACGCAAGGGAATTGACTACGCGCGCCACAGGTGGTGGTACTACCAACTACGATACTTTTAAATTGACCGTTAAATGCTTGTACGATGATCAACTTGCGAGTGTTATGTCTGTTTGTCTGTGATGAGATTATATGTGTTTGATTGGAAATAGGAATAACTTTTCGGTCATCAAAACAAAACTTTATTTTTCTCGGATCGGTGCGAATGTTACTTACGACATAATGAAAATTTGCTCTTGATTTTAGATGGTCAAGTTTTGAACCCACCACAACATGCTTTTGGCGCTACTGTATATGGGCGATCAAATGTAAAATACTGTTGTAGCCACAGCACAGTTCGTCAAAAACTCTGCTTTTTCATTGATCCATTATTGATAAATGAAAATGCTGAGGTTCTGACAGAACTGTGCTGTGGCTACCACAGTATTTTATATTTGATCGTCCATAAACAGTAGCGCCAAAAGCATGCTGTGGTGGTTTCAAAACTTGACCATCTAAATTGATCAATTGATCAATAATTTAGATGGTCAAGTTTTGAACCCACCACAGCATGCTTTTGGCGCTACTGTATATGGACGATCAAATGTAAAATCAAGGTTGCAAATACTCATTTCAGTTAAAACAATGTTTTTTTTTTTAGTTATGAAATAATTAGATGCCATGATTATATTTTGAATTGGTAGGATACAAGAAGAGGTTACAATGAATGTATTTGATATATTAAACCTGTTTATTTCACTCCATTAGAGTCACAATCAGCGATTTTTCACACACTCACTCACTCACTCAGCGATCTGAAAATCGCTGATTGTGACTCATAGAAAGCAAAATTGACAGGTTTTATGTTTCAACCGCATACTCTGTAACCTTTTGTAGTAAGTTACAAGTAAAACATGCCATCATAACATCTTTTGGTTTTATTATTCCGAAAAACATTATTTTAGCTAAAATGAGTATTTGCAACCTTGTGTAAAATACTGTGGTAGCCACACCACAGTTCTGTCAAAACCTTAGCATTTTCATTCATCCATTCTTGGAATCGACCGACCCCTTCCAGAGAATGATAACAACAGTGTCGGATTGGCCAGTGACATTCAAATGGTCAGCGAGTATACTGTGCCAAGTTGCCGAGCGTCACAACGTAACTCCCCCCACTGTGGCCAGGTGCCAAAGCCATGCGGAACGGCATGCATTTTACTAATGCACCATACGAATACCCATAAATGCATCACTAAAGGGCTTAGGAAAAGTGGAAGATAATTCTGAGATAGAAAATTAATGATCGAGGAAGGTCCCACCATCAATGTGAGTGGCATCACTGCCATAGTTTTAATTTTCAAAACAAATTTACTTACGCATCTGTTCAATTTCAGCTGCAATTTTACTCGTTGTCAGCATAAAGCAAAGAAAGAAACGTTTAACTTTTACGGTGTGGTGTCGTTTCCTAATTTCCACGCTATTTCAAAACAACCCAAACTTAAGTGTTCACCTACAAAAGGCTGGCAACCCTATCCACACGCGGAGCTCGTTCGCGAATCTTCCATATATTTTACTCCGTGCCCACCCCTGAATAATATAAACAAAGTCGAGTAATCAAATTTTACGCATCAGCTGGTGAGTCGCGATCGACGCCAAGCGAAAACTGCATTCAGCCAGTGTCGTGTCCTCTAATCGAAAAAAGAAAAGCTGAAAATCGTGTTTATTAATTAATGCATTTTTCAATCATTAACTGTATACTGCATTTTCTGCCGATGCAGTAAAAAGTAGGTCGTAGTTTATGTAAAACTAAGCATCAAAGTTCAAACCAAATTTCGAGGAATAAAATTTAATAATTGTAAAGGTGAAAGGGCTTGCAGTTAGTGGCTTCGCGTAGTTTCGTTTCCGGTTGTGATTGATTTGTTTGCGTGGGTGTCACGACCAAGGACATTCTCTGTGCATCCTCACTCGGGGGGCATCGCTCCCTTGGCGGCTGGCAGCACAATGCTGGAATGGTCGTTCAATCTATTTTTGTCGGTGTTTTTGATTCTTGGTGGAGTTTGGGTGGCCGGGCGATATTTTCTGAAGGAGGATGTGGTCTACATTCCGGATGGGAAGCGTCGTCACGCGTGGAAATCGGTAAAGCTGCTGAGCCGGTCTTGCTTCTGTTCGATTTGTGAGAATCTGATGTCGTCGAATGGGGTATTTTGCGAAAATTGCGGAGTCTGTTCGGACAATGGATGCGTGCGGAAGGCGGATACGGAGTTTCGCTGCAAGGAGCTGCGCATCCGGAGCCGAGCGGACGATGGAAAGGAGAGCCGGCATCTGTGGGTGAAGGGAAACCTACCGCTGGGGTCAGAATGTTCGGTCTGTTCGGAGGATGTGGATCAGACGAGCGAACCGGGACTGTACGGTCAGCGATGTGCGTGGTGTCAGCGATCGGTGCACGATAAGTGCTTCAGTGAGGTTTCCAACACGCTGTGCGATTTTGGCGAGTTTAAAAGTATGATTTTTCCACCGAAGTGTATTTTGGCGTCGCGAACCAAGGACGCTCCGAAGGTTCACTTGACCGGAATCATTCCACCCGAGTGGAAGGACCAGTGGAAACCGCTGATAGTTGTTGGTGCGTATGGTTTGATTGATGGGCTTCCGTTTCCAATTTACTAATTGCTTTCACTTGTAGCAAATTCGAAATCTGGAAGCAGTGAGTCACTGGAAGTGGTCGCATCGATGCGTGGAATCTTGCACCCGCTGCAGGTGTTTGAACTGGAATCACACGGTCCGCAGGAAGCGCTACAGTGGGCAATCTATGCAGCACCAGCAACGTGTAGGATCCTGGTTGCCGGAGGTGACGGAACCGTCGATTGGGTTCTGAATACGTTGCTTCAAATGAAGGTCGAGCCCTTGCCTGAGGTGGCAATTCTACCACTTGGAACAGGAAACGATCTTTCGCGGGTACTCGGATGGGGTGCCGAAGGGCCGGACTCGTTCAACCCGATCGAATACATGAGGAAGATCGAGAAAGCCGAACCAGTGCAGCTAGATCGGTGGCTGATGGAGATTTCCGTACATCATCAAAGTCGGTTTCATGTTCCACGCTTCCACTACCGGAGAAGCGTGTTTGTGTACAACTATTTTAGCATTGGTGTTGACGCGCTGGTAACGTTGAATTTCCACAAGGCTAGAGATAGTTCGTACTATGTGTTTAGCAGCAGATTTATAAACAAGGTAAGATGCCTGAGATTAGCATTGTTTTCTGACCGTGTACTACGGAATGAAATCTTCTTTTTTTTCAGGCTTTATATTTGTGCTACGGTACGCACCAAGTGGTTCAGCAGGAATGTGTCGACTTGCAGCAGAAGGTGGAACTCTACTTGGACGACGTCAAAATTGAGCTACCGGAATTGCAGTCCATTGTCGTACTTAATATCGATTCCTGGGGAGCCGGAGTGAAACTTTGGGGTGGGTCCAGTGTAATGCAAGCACACGTCTTGATCAGTAGTCATAGTTGACCTTATTTTTCAGAAATGAGTCGCGATTCACCCACTCACGGTGGCAGCATGCGCGAAGCTCATAGCATTTCCGACGGGATTCTGGAAGTATTTGGCGTGGTTTCGTCGTTCCACATTGCCCAACTGCAGGTCGGACTGAGCAAGCCCGTCCGGCTGGGACAGGCCCGCAGCGTAAAGATCAGAATGCACGGAACTCTCCCGGTACAGGCGGACGGTGAACCCTGGATGCAGTCGCCCTGTGATATTAGCATTAACCACTGCGGGCAGGCAACAATGTTGCGCAATGTGAACCAGTGAACTGGACGGGGGAAGGAAAAGGTGAGCGTATGTAAGTACCACTATGAATAACCATTCGGTTTACTTGAATTTGAAGATCTGCTTCGAAACGATCACGAATCTATTTATTTTAAGTTTAGGAACCCACGAATCTTTAGTCAATCTCACCGAAAGCATACCTACTTATATCGTAAAGGAGTTTTGAATACTTTAAATCCAACCGGACGAATTGATATCGAGTAGAAATGTAAGATCTGTTGTTATCGAGTATTTAAATTGGTTAGTTATAGAACGATGGAGATGAAAAGTAATTCCACAATGTTGAGATATTTATTATTGAATCTAGTTTTTTTTATACGTAAGAGCCACATGGCTAATTCGAGAAGAATATAAATCATACGGGATGAAGTTTACTTAAGCTTAAGAATTGTTTAAGGTGAATATTTTGGTTTCGTACTAACCTGCATTAGAAAAGCAGGAATTGCCTGTTTTTTTACAAACGGAAGACTTCGAACCATGGCAGAATAAGATATTATCATTCAATCAATTATTGTGTACCTACTTGTGTAATCCTGATATCGATGTGCATTTCCTTATTGTGCATTTTACTTGTTGGCGTAAAAAACATAATATTGGAATAGATTTGTATTTATGAATTATTGCATTGTATGTCCTGTCCCAGAAAGGAGACAGATTTTCCAAGTGAAATAATACCAAAACAACAAATTCTTTGGATGTCGTTTATTATTGATATCACAAATCATTGCAACTTAACTTTTGGCTGCTGGGTAAATGGGACCTGTGAATGACCAAAATGTGTTTTAATCGAAGTTCCCGTGGTGCACGACATCAGCCCTTGTAACAGGGTCTGGTACATTTGGCATAAGATCATTTCTAGACTTATATTTCAAAAGAATTTCGGTGTGGTAAGCGTACAAAATGGTGAGTTGACAACCTGGAAGGAGCGGAATACCTAGCCCTGGTCCTCACAAGTTCCTACTTCACGCCTCCTCGAGTCATATGATAACAAAAGACTACCAGCTGAAACATGGACACAGCTGGTTGGCGTAGCCTGGGCAATGTTGCCAGTCCGGCAATAGCAAAGTGAAGAGGTGCGACGCGAACACTGGCGCGGTAACCATAGTACGGTGATAGAGGAAATGCTTCACCAAACCTGAGCGTCTGTTCATCATGGAGGTGCGGCTCAAAACGGCGTCTGTTCTCCATGTTAGGAGCGGCTGATCACCGTCCTAGTGCCAGCGTGGGACTCTAAACAGAGCTGTGCACGATGGTCCCCCGGCGAGACAGGGGGTTGGGGCAGGCCCCACAAGCCGCCCTGGAAAAAAACATAAAGTTGCAAATACTGAAGAAAGGAACAATCGGCACAGACCTACGCGACGAAATAAGGACTACGATTGGAAACTCGGAACATAGAACTGCAAATCGCTCGCAACGCGTGATTGGTTGGCAGCCGATCAACGCGAGGATGTGCAAGTTGAGGATTAAGGGCCGTTTCTTCAACTACAGCATCATCAACATGCACTGCCCACACGAAGGGAGACCCAACGATGAGAAAGAAGCGCTCTATGCGCAGATGGAGCAGGTGTACGACGGCTGTTCGCAACGGGACGTCAAAATCTTCATCGGCGACATGAACGCACAGGTAGGACGGGAGGCAATCGGGCCAAACAGCCTGCATGCCGCATCGAACGACAACGGCCAACAATGCGTGAACTTTGCAGCCTCTCGGGGTATGGTAGTTCGAAGTACCTACCTTTTTCCCCCACAAGGATATCCACAAAGTCACCTGGAGATCACCTGACCAACGCTCAAAACCAAATCGATCACGTTCTAACCGACGGGAAATTCTTCTCCGACATTATCAACGTCCGCACGTACCGCAGTGCGAACATAGATTCGGACCACTACCTAGTTGCAGTATGCATGTGCTCAAAACTCTCGACGGTGCATAAGTCGAACTCCGCGACCCAACATTGAGCAACTACGGGACGCCGGAGTTGCCCAGGACTACGCGCAGCAGCTGGAAGTTGCTTTACCCACGGAAGAGCAGCTTGGCGCAGCTTCGCTTGAAGATGGCTGGAGGGACATCCGTTCCGCCATAGGTAGTACTGCGGTACTGCTGCAATCCCGGACCGAATAAATGACTGGTTTGACGGCGAATGCAAACTGTTAGTAGAGGAGAAGAATGCAGCACGGGCGAGAATGCTGCAACACCGCACGAGATTGAATGTGGAGCGATACAGACAAGCGCTGAACAGACAAAACTCGGTTTTCCGAAGGAAGAAGCGTCAGTAGGAAGACCGAGATCGCGAGACGATGGAAAATCTGTACCGCGTAAACGACACACGGAAGTTCTATGAGAAGCTAAATAGTTCGTGCAAAGGCTACGTGCCGCAAGCCGATATGTGCAAGGACTTGGACGGTAACCTTCTCACGAACGAGTGTGAGGTGATTGAGAGGTGGAAGCAGTACTATGACGAGCACCTCAACGGTGAAGCAGCAGAAAACGAAGGTGGCACGGCAACAGACCTTGGAGCACGCGCAGAAGACGACAGGCTACCGGTCCCTGATCTTCAAGAAAATGAGAAGGAGATCGGTCGGCTGAAGAACAACAAAGCAACTGGTGTAGATCAACTACCAAGTGAGCTATTAAAATACGGTGGTGAAGCACTGGTTAGAGCGCTGCACTGGGTAATTGCCAAGATTTGGGAGGAGGAGATATTACCGGAGGAGTGGATGGAAGGAGTCGTATGCCCAATCTACAAAAAGGGCGACAAGTTGGATTGCTGCAACTACCGCGCGATCACACTGCTGAGCGCCGCCTACAAGGTACTCTCCCAAATTCTATGCCGCCGCCTGTCACCATTTGCAAGAGAGTTCGTGGGGCAATACCAGGCGGAATTCATGGGTGCCCGCGCTACCACGGACCAAATTTTCGAAGGTTCTGCAGAAATGCCGCGAATACAACGTGCCCACATATCATTTGTTCATCGATTTCAAATCCGCATACGACACAATCGATCGAGATCAACTACACAGAAAAAAAAGTTGTTGAATATTACATCGAAACTGCTGCAACCAGGTCAATCCATCGGTTGTGTAATATCCCATTGTACGATGTACATCGATTTTGCGAACAAAATTACATCCATTGATGTAATATTGTATTTGCCTTTTGCTATTACATCATTATTTCATACATCAGCTTGAATTACGTTGATCGATATTACATTTTTTTTGCTGTGTATGGCAGATTATGCACGAGTACGGATTTCCGGATAAACTGACGCGATTGGTCAAGACGGCGCACACTGGGGCAGATCAGTGATTTTCTCGGAAAAAAATTAATAACTTTTAAACAAAGCATCCAATCAGAATACTGTTTTGGGTAAAGTTGTTTGTATTAGTTAAGCGCTTCTGAATACATTGATTAGTTAGCAACTTGGTCGTAGAGATGGCGCGAATCTAACTTTTGAATAAAGCATCCTAGACGTATAGTGTTTTCAACAAAGTTTTTTTTTATCTATTACAATAAAGGAAAGTTGCAGAAGACATAAAACTTCCATAACCTTTCATTAGTTTCGGAGATATAGGGTATATTGAAAAATATGATGCCAAAATTCTTATTTGTTAGCTTTTTGTATATTTTCATATGTTTGCTCTGGTTTCTGCATTTATTTCAACGAAAACAAACTAGGTGCGAGTTTTCATTGAACTCTTTGTGGAATTTATAGTGGTTTTAGTGAAATATTCTCGAAAAACATGATATTACCACTTTTTTAGGTGGGTGGGATTCTCGAAAGGGCAGCTAAGGGCAGCTGGACTTTGTCTCTTTTGTTAGCTCATGTCATCGTCTAACATATACCAGAAAACTGAAGACATGATATTCGATGATTTTTTTAAATTTCACTTTATATATACCGATAAAAACATCCTTTACATTGAAATGAACTGTTTCACAAAATAGATAACATTATATAAATTTTTGACATGTCACCATTTTTAAATGCTGTGCTGAATTTTGAGATTGTTTACTTATTATGAGCTGCCAGCAAACCAGGGGCCTCGCTGGCGGCCATGTTTTTGATGCTATCATCTGCTTTTGTCTCTCTGCTTACTACACGATTATCCGTCCCTTTCCACCATATATACGTCAGCTCAATCAGCTGCATTACCCAGGTAAAGTTGTATATGTGACATCATCGTACAAGCTGTGTGCTGCCGTGCCAACGTGATCGTGTACAACGTACAATTCTCGATTACTTTTTCGAGGAGACGTATCAGTTTTTGTAAACAATGCATTTGATCGTCGGTTTGGTGTAACTGGTAGCTTATCAACGCATACTAACACCACTATCATGCAGGAGAAAATTTCCCCTATCTGATGGTAGTGTTAGTATGCTGATACGTCACTTCGAAAAAGTAATCGAGAATTATTCATGTGCGTCAATGTTTCAGTAGTTGGTATCCATAAGCGTGAATCTTTTTCTCGTATATGTTCAGCGATCAATTTCCGGTGTTGCGCAATAATCCACAAAGTTGCTATAACCATAGAGGTAACTCTAAAGGGCCACCCACATTAGATCCGTTTGCGTTGCGTTGACGTAAATTTGACAGTTAGACAATAGATTTAGCTGTCACTTCGCCGCAACGCGTCCGATCCGGATCTAACCCCTCATTTTATCTGTCAAACTTTCATAGCGAATCAAAACAAACATTGCATACACTCAGAGAAATGATTTTTAAATTCAAATGGATATATTTTTGGCTCAGGGCCTAATATATTTTTGGTATTGATTCAAATATATTATTCGGTTAATCCAAAGAAAAATATTTTCGAATCAACAAACCGGTTGTAGAGTCAATAATCTGTTTGTTGATTCTAAAAACCATTTTGTTGATTCAAAAATATGTTTCGTTGAAATAGTGATACAATATGTTTGAATCAATAACAAAATACATTAGGCCCTGAAACAAAAATCCATTTTTCTGCGTGTAGTACTAGAATTTCGACTAGAATGGTGTACGTTAATCGTTTGCTTGGGACCAATAGGCTAGTCAAGTAGTGAGCCAATTTAAAATCGTTAGTTTCGTATTAATTGTTGCTACTACCAACCGGTGGAAACTAACGATTTTAACTTGACTCACTACTTAACTAGCCTATTGGTCCCAACGAGGGTCCCAAGTACATATCAAGAGCAAATTTTCATTACGTCGAATGTAACAAAGGTAAACAAAGTCGAGCTATCAGTGTCAATCGATTCTCCTGCTATTACACTATATACTGTCCGAATATAGGATCAAATACCATTTTTAAATTTATTTACCAGTCAAATTGCTTTTCGACGTAATCACCTTCCGATCAAAATAGTTTTCGATGTTACTTAAGTCACCCAATTTCTATGGAGATGCCGTTTGACTTAAGTAACACCGCTGAGAAACCCGTGAAAAGTGTACGTACGTCGTTTCGCTTTCTCATTATTAAAGTGAATAAATCGAACTGTTTGTTGCTAAGATGATTTCGGTGGTCCTAAAATGATGAATGGGCTGCACGTAAGCAGACGTAATTGATAATTCTCCCGAATATCCTGGTAAATACACTTTGACTTAAGTAACAATAGGGGCCACCAAACGACGTATAATAACTTTTGACTCAAAAACCAGTATTTCTTAGCATGAAAGCTAGCGATTTGCATTTGTATGATTAA